ATTGGAAGAAAATGGTTTTGAAAGTGAAAAGGCTGAGCATTCACCACTCATCCGTATACATATTTTACCAGCTGTTTTTATGGGTGTATATGTTTTTCTCGTCCTTCCACTGGAAGTCTGCACTTGGGTTTATACTGCTGCCTACAGGAGAATTGGACAATGGCAAACAAAAACTGTAGGTCATCCCAGGATGACCACTCCTATTACCAGCTTTTCTAATTTTTTTTGCTGGTGTCCTGGGAGAATAGACTTCTTTTCTTTAGCTTTGTGGTGTTAAAGACTAACTTATTTTTTTCAGGCACTCATCTACACATCAGGAATACACCAAGGTGCTGGCCCTAGTACTAGCCCTGCTGCGCTCTCATGGTGACCATATTGTCAGATACTTTGGTGACCTCCCGTTGAGGAAACTTTTGGCGTGGGCTCTGTTGGGAGAGCATGACTTTGAGTGTCCACATGTTACAGCAATTCAGCTAGATCCTGAACCTTCAGAAAGCATTGTTGCAACCAACTCATCCTTGGAAGTATCTGGGTCTAGTCCTGGACATGGCTCAGCCAAAGTGCTTATACCACAGGAGAAGTTTAGACATTCCGACTTCAGAACTCTAGTCCAGAGGCCATCCAACTCTCAGTGTTTGCATAAGAGTCCTGAATCTAATGGTAGTCTCTTTCAAGGCAGTTTAATTTGCCAAATTTCAATCCAGGAATCTACAATGCAACATTCTGTCATCTTGGCACATGTCAATCTGGCCTCTGGACAGACTGTTCACCAAGGACCAGGTTGCCTCTACCTTGGTTGCTCAGGAATTCGGTTCTGGAGTCAAATAAGTCCCTCTTTCATGTCTTTATAAAGGATCTTCACAATGGATGTTGAGCTGGAGAAGAGTCCTTGGCACCCTGTCTGTGCGGGCAACTTGGTTAACATAGGATTCTCATCTCCCAATCAGCATCCTGGAACCAAGGGTTATTTGGCTGTCTCTGCAGCATTGGACCATCTTTATTGGAATGTCATCCGATCCAGATTTAGTCATACAATGCTACGTCAAGTCTCACTGTGGCATAAGAGGTAGATTGGAATCTTTCCTGAGTAGCACTTCATGTTCCAATCTTGTCAGTTGTATACATTTAAGTTGTAATCAATTGGCAGGTGGACTTTGTCAGCCAGCGGCACCTGTACCTCGGGAGCTAATCCAGTGCCCTGTGTTAACCTTTGCTGGTTGGTCCCATTCCCTCACCTTGGTCTGATGTTAGTCCTCTTCTGGATCCTTTTAGGTCCCCTCTGCTGGCCAGCCAGTGGAAATTGTCCACATCAGCAACGTGGACTCATGGAAGAAGAACCCATTCAGGAAGTAAACAGAGAGAAAGAGCTAGCGCTGGATGATTACATGACTGTGGCTTGAGGTAAGTTGCTTAAAGTAAGTGAAATTCACGGATTTGGTCTGTGGAAAGAGATAGGGAGCAAGAGGTGGGTTCCTTCTATCTGCCTAGTGCTCTAATAATGATGATAATAATAACAATAAAAGTTCTAAAACAAGCAAAAGTCTTTTTTATAGAAAAAGAAAAATTACTAATAAGTAGTTAAATCTAAAAGAATGTTAAAGAATAATTGCAATAAATGAACAAAGATAATACGTTACAAGGGGGTTTGACTCAGCAATGGGCAAACTACGGCCCGGCGGACCTTTTAATCCGGCCCGCGGAGAGTGATACTGTCAGGATGGCTGTCAGGATGTGTGTAGGCGGGGCAGCGTGACGAACGTGAGGGGAGCTAGGCTCCTCTCACACTCCGCCCTGAAGACCAGAACGGCGCGGGAACACGGCGAGAGGAACGCGCGGAGCAAAGGTAAGTAAGTTGACACAGGGGGGACTTGGGGACTTAATATGGGGGATGAATTAATATGGGGAATGAATTACTATAGGGGGGATGAATTACTATATGGGGGTGAATTACTATATGGGGGATTAATTACTATGGGGGATGAATTACTATGGGGGATGAATTACTATATGGGGGATGAATTACTATGGGGGATGAATTACTATATGGGGGATGAATTACTATGGGGGATGAATTACTATAGGGGATGAATTACTATATGGGGGATGAATTACTATGGGGGATGAATTACTATATGGCGGATTAATTACTATGCTTACTATGGGGGAATATTACTATACTTACTATGGATGACACATACACATCATTCATCTACTCTTGGTCCGGCCCCCGGGTCCAATATATGAACCCATTGCGGCCCTCAAGTCAAAAAGTTTGCCCACCCCTGCTCTAGAGTCTAAATCTGGTTCTCTTTGTTCTTCAGAATCTGCTGTTTAAATCCATTAAAGACATTTATCTCTCTACTCTCACCTATAAGGTAGTTTCTCTTGGAACCATCACTTCTGCGAGTGTCCGAGCTGGCAGCCTTATCCTGTATTATGGTTTTGCATAGGGACAAGATGGTATTGAGGCCCAGGACTTCTTCCTTTCCTATGGTAGTTTCTTCCTTTTACTTAAACTAGGATTTCATTCTTCCTTCTGTCTGGTTCCTATTTAACATATGGACATTTTCCTTCATTGTCTGGATGTTGTTTGGGCTGTGAGAGTCTATCTCTCCGCCACTGCTTCTTTCAGAAAGGCTGATTCACTTTTGTCATCCCAGATATACCCAGAGAGGGTATACGCGTTTTTCATTCCACCATCTCTAGGTTGGTCAGGTAGACCATCATTCAGGCTTATGGTCTCAAGGATTTGGTTCCACCTTTTCCTGTCAAGATGAACTCTAATAGGTCTGTGAGTGCGTCTTGGGCTTTTCAGCATCAAGGAACTGTTTCCATATTGCTGCTGCCACCTGGTCTATTGTTCACACGCTCTCTAAATCCTTCCACGTAGATGATTTGGCTTCATGTGATTTTTTTTTCCCCTATGATTCTGTTAGTGTTTGCTGGTGTTGGACTACTTGTGGAAATTCCAAAGGCTAAAGTCGTTCTTTCTCCCTCAATGCACAAGAAAGAAAATAGGATTTTTGTACTAATCAAAAAAATCCTTTTCTTGGAGTCCATTGAGGGATACAGGTACCATCCCTGTGTTTTTGAATATGATTTCAGTACTGCTTTGCCTGAAAACTGAACAATGCTGGTAGTAGAAGGGCTTATTCTGGGCTGGACTACATTTTTTTTCTGTTTGCCAGTGCCCAATTCTCCTACAGGTGACAGTATAACTCAAAGGGTTAAGACTTCCTGTGTCCCTCAAGGGACTCCAATACAAGTTTTTGCGGTGGTTTTTCAAAAATCCTATTTTGCCTAATGTTATATATAGCTAATAGACTGTACTTATTCCTGCTTAGCTGTTCACTGACTAAAATTTTGAACTGTTGTGAATTTTCTGTAAGGTACAAAAGTACCCCATGGGGTACACATAATACTGATCAAAAGCTTGTTGTGTTAACACTTTTGGCTGAATATTTTGATAAATACTCCTCAATGTTTTTACTGAGGAGATGGAATAACTCCCCACATTCAATTGTAGACACATTGTGATGCCTAGTCTTAGTCCTTTTAAGATTTTGGTTACTCAGAATGGTTCCCTTTAAGAGATTGTACACCGTGTCTTCCAAGCATCTGTCCAGAAATATTATTGAACTGAATTGTTAATTTCACACATACATCTAAGCCAGGGGTCTCCAAACCTTTCAAACAAAGGGCCAGTATACTGTCCTTCAGACTTTAGGAGAGCCGGATTAGGGCCAGTGAGGATAGAAAATGTCCTGGCCCCAGCATCAGTGACAATATACATGGCCTCAGGGTTGTTGGTCAGTAGAAGGAGGAGTAGTGCCCCACCATTGGTATTAGTGGGAAGAATAGTAGACCATCATTGGTTTCATGGGAAGAAGTACTGCCCCATTGTTGGTGTCAGTGGGAGGAATAGTGCCCAAAGGACTGGATAAAGGGTAGCAAAGGGTCACATCCAGCCCTCGGGCCACAGTTTGGAGACCCCTGATCTAAGTAAAAGGTGTCTAGAATGATAATTGAAAAAGCCCATCAGCTAATACCACTCCGCCAGAAAGACAGAGAGTGGTTGATAGCTGGAAGGAATTTGGCTGGTAAGTCACACTGGCTCTATATCCATTTAGTATACTACACTGCCTAACCTTGAAAAATAATATTAAAATAAATAAATAAGACCTATTATGGCATTGAAAATGGCTGGTGATGGGGTTCTGTTTCTTCCCACTGATAGGGTTTCCCAGGTTTGCTGCCAAACAGACTACCAAGTGAGAGATACAGAGGACCAGGAAGTCACTGGTCTCAGTTTCCCCCTTAGCCTTACATCATTATATAACATAGTGACACCCAGGAAGAGCGTACAGCTGCTGTTAGGCTGCTGAGATAGTTTAGGCAAGTTTTTAGGTTGAAGTGGTTCTAAAGGCAAATGGTTTTTAACCTTAATACATGCTCTGCATTAAGGTAGAAAACTCTCTACTACTTGTTGTCCCTCCCCCATATTCCTAAACACTTACCTGCTTTTCACGATCCAGTGCTGTCCCAGCTGCATGGCTGCAGCTCCGCTGTCCCCTCTTCCTGGTCTCATGGGAGACGCAAGCAGGTGTGGAACCATAGGCTCCTGCTGCTACCAGTCAAACTCCTGTGAGAAGTGAGAGGGGATGGAGCTTACTGGCACTGTGTGTGTGCAGGCACAAGTGTCTCCTCAACACACTGCTTGCTGAGGGGGCACCCGCAGGAATGAGAGAAGAATCCCAGTGGGGGACTCCAGAAGAGGAGGTCCAGAAACACTCTGTGCAACAGTAGGTAAGTATATTAACATATTTTTTTATTTAATTGCAAAATAAATTCATCTTTACAATCACTTTAAAGTTTGAAGGGTTCTTTTTAAAGATGATACATTTTATTGGCTACATCAGAATGGCTATAATGCATAGCAAGTTGTTTGCATGTGCATTTCTAGACACATTATTGTGTATAGAAACATGCAGTCACTGTAGAAATTAAATGAAGTTCATCATGCAGGCGGCAGTCCTATGTGTTACCTGCACACCCTCATTTTATTAAAGCAGAGAAGTTAGTAATCTAAAGACAGCAATTGTTTTTGTCATCCACTCCTCCAGCCCCAAGTTCGGAAGTAGTCCGCTGCGAGTTCTGCGGCGAGTTCTTTGAAAACAGAAAGGGCCTGTCAAGCCATGCACGCTCCCACCTGCGCCAGATGGGCGTCACAGAGTGGCATGTCAACGGGTCACCCATCACACCCTGCGGGAGATCTTGGCCAGTGGGACCTGTCCCAGAACAGGCACCAGAACCGGAGGCCCCAGCTCGGAGAAGCTACTCTCACATCATCCTCCCGCTTCCCCATCCGGGTCCCACCCGTACAGCGGGTTGGCTCCGGCAATGCAACACAAGCCTCCTCGGCTTCCTACCTACCCGGCCAGTGAGTGGCCGTCCGAGCTCTCACCTTTAAACTTGTGTAAGTGGGCCACTGACCCGCAGCTCTTCATATGCTTGCTCATCTTCATTGCTTCCCATTTTGTCTGTTTCATTCATATATTTAATTCAGACCACTCCTGGCTTTCCCAAATAACCCCTTCATCTTTAAGAATCAAGGGTGTGACTTGACATCAGCAGTGAGCTGGTGAGATTGTGTGTGATTGTCTTTTAGGCTTTAGTGCTATGTTCCAATTTCTTAAATGACAAACCCATTTTGCTGTGTAACCTTTGAGCAGAAATTCTTCCTCTAAAGCTTTATTTTAGCCTTTTTTCATGTGTCATTAGCCTACTTGTCTGGTCAGAATTTGGGATCACATATTTAGCAACAAAAGTGTTTGAATGCTTGTCTTGACAAGCTGCTTGGCATTAAATGTGTACTTGTCACAAATGCACAAAGGTGAAGCAACCTGTTAAATCACCTTTTGGGTCTGTACTTAAATGAAATATGTCTCAAGCAAAATATGGAAGTTTCCATTGTTGATCTTACGATGTTGGCTTTCTGGCAATTCAGTCATTGCCGTAGGACATGGGTGTCAAACTGGCAGCCCTCCAGCTGTTGCCAAACTACAAGTCCCATAAGGCATTGCAAGATTGACAGTTACAAGCATGACTCCCAAAGGTAGAGGCATGATGGGACTTGTAGTTCTGCAACAGCTGGAGGGCCGCCAGTTTGACACTCCTGCCCTAGGACAAACATGCATATAAGGACTCTGACTCTGTTTGGTCAACAATGGTAGACTCCTGTTTTTGTTGTGTGACACGTTTGCTTTAAGAACAACTGTAACACTCACTATAGTCTTTAATTTGACGACAGGAAATGTCCTGAATCTCATCAAAAAGAATAGTTGCACCTCATTTGCTGTAGTTTATTAAACTGAGGACTGAGTGCCGACTGAAGGAGTGATTTTCCTAAAAGCTTCTCAACTGATAGATTTCCCTAATTTTCAAAGATGGATGCCTCTACTTCATGGCTTTCAACGTTAAAATAAACCTGTAGAGTGAGCTAATTTCCGGACTATAATGATGATACGCTGACTACAGCACTTTCAGTCATTGGCACAGAGCAAGTATGCACCATAAGTATGTAGCTTGGGAAATTCTTTTCTCCATATGTGTTGTAGTTCAGTAACCCATGCTGAAGCAACAGTCAATGTGACAGCCAGGCAACTTACATTTTTAGAATTAGGGCTTTGCAGTGGCAGCCTCCATGTTTTGTCATGACCAGCAAACCTCCTCCTGAGACCTCTACTTTGACAAAAAAAAAAAAAACATAGTTGCTTATTGTCAAGCTAACCCAAAATAATAATGTGAATTTGGTGTTCCAACTTCCTCTGCCTGGACTGACTACATGCTTGTCTACGTCCGTGACTGAGAGAGAATTGCAGCCAGTGACAACCAAGTTTCAGAAGTGGTACCCTGCTTACAGGTTTCCTGTATGTCACTAATTGCTTTGAAAATAAGTAGTGTGTCCCAAACATTCTTTATAAGTTGCTATTGATTGTACTATTTTACTAGTTGCCATGCTATATTGAGCAAGTACAATGTGTTCTTTTTAAGCCTTCCACATATACAGCTGCCTGTTCTTGACAACAAGGCTGTTTACTTCTAGCAAAATGTTTAGTCCATTGGAGTGTCTCTGGTGAAATCTGTTTAGGCAAACCTTTCCTTTCTGTAATTTGACTGTGGATTGTGATCAAAGTTAGGCAAGTGTTTACTACAGTTTGGACTCCAGTACAGTTCAGTATACTAGGATGAACTGGAACACACCAAGTACACCTTTATATCTTGAGCATTTTGGATAGTCGTGCTTTACTTTACATGTTTTCTGTAATGCAAACATTTTATTTTATTTTAAAGGCTTGTTCTTTCATTTTGTAAGTGGTAGATGTGTAGTACTGGAATGCTCATTCTCATCAGTATTTAAAGGCCATCCGGAGAACCATTGTGTAACTTTAGCCAGCAGCTGTGTATTCTTCTTATTGTTCTATAGAGACTTTATTGTGGGCATGTCTGATGTGGTTTGTTAGACATTTGAGATTGTTTCATCTTGCATTTTTGTGTGTGATTTCTGGCAAGTTAGTCTACTAACATTCGTATTGGTTTTCCCCTTATTCCTGCCTTTCTGCTTTTATTTCATCATTTTGTGCCTTTTACTTTGTTGTATTTTTAATATCCAAATTTTGTGTATTTTATAGCTTCACAGTCAGATCCCTCCCGTGACATCCGCTGCGAGTTCTGCAATGAGTTCTTTGAGAACCGCAAGGGACTGTCTAGTCATGCACGTTCACATCTCCGCCAGATGGGTATAACAGAATGGCATGTGAATGGTTCACCGATTGACACTCTACGAGAAATTATACATAAGAGGCACCCAGAGACACCACAGCAGCAGGTTTCCAACATCAAAATGGAACCTCGCGGGGAGGATGAACCACCCAGTCCGTCCCACAGACTCTCACCTCTTGGTGTTGGGCCATCAGTGATGGCTCGAGATACTCAAATTTCAGCACCTGGGCGCCCTCACAACAGTTTTCTTTCACCAATACCAACTAAGAGACCAGCACCTCACGAACCTAGACTTACGCAGTCTGAGCCAAAGGGCTATATGAATGCCGAGCCAAAGGGCTATATGAATGCCGAGCCAAAGACTTGTAGCCAGCCTAAGTCTTACATACAGGGTGAGAGTAGACCAAAATCCTATGTTACAGAGGAGGGCCAGCCCAAGACCTTTGTTTATGGTGATGGTAAGCCAAAACCATTCTTGCAAAGTGGAGAAGGGAGACCAAAGACTTTTATGCAAGAAGGAAGACCAAAGGGCTTTTTGCCAAGTGAAAACCGACCCAAGACCTTTATACTTGGCGAAGGCAAGCCTAAAACATATTTGCAAGGTGATGCAAAGCCTAGATCTTTTATACCTGGGGAAAATAAACCTAAATTGTTCTTGCAAGGTGAACCCAAGCCTAAGTCTTTTTCTCCAGATGGCAAGCCCAAGGCTTATATTCAGACGGAGCTTCCATTCAAAGTCAAGATGAAGGCGTCTCCTGAGAAAAAACAGTCACAAGCAGTAAGTTACAGATTTGAAGCATGACTATGTTATTTGTGTAGTACATTGTTTGTAACATTTTTCTTTTCTATGCCACAATGTTTCTTCTCTCTGTTCTGTCCTTATCAAATTCAACCAGTGGAGGCTTGCTGTGAGCTTTGTGGGTTGTTCTTTGAGAATCGGAAGGCTTTAGCCAGCCATGCAAGAGCCCACCTTCGACAATTTGGTGTAACCGAATGGTGTGTCAATGGTTCCCCAATTGAAACGCTCCGAGAATGGATGAAGCAGAGACCCCAGAAGGCTGGTGCCTATCTCAATTACATCCAGGGGCGTCCTTTCTCTAAAAAGTTCAAACGTGCTTTGCAAAGTCCAAAACCAGGACCAGAGAAGGAAAGCCCAGCTACAGCCCCTGGGAAGGTGGTCGAGAAAGAACACAGTGCTGCAATACAAAGCGTAATCCCTGAAAAACCAGCTGAGCCACATGTGCAAAGTAAGTATGACACACGGGATAACATAGATGTAAGGATGGCTTACTTACATGGGTTAGGGATTCTATGATATCTAAAAATGTATCTCTATGTCTGCAGAAGTTGAGCGTCGTCACCCTAAAACACCTGAGGTTCCACCCTCTCGGGAAGATACTGTCTCTGAACCACTCGCCAAAAATGAGGAGCCACGACCACCTGCAAGAGCACGTCCTGTGCCTTCTCTGGTACCAAGACCTCCACAGACATCATTGGTGAAATTTGTTGGAAACATTTACACTTTGAAATGCAGGTGAGATGGCTGTAACTGTTTTATCTTTTGAACTTCTTATGTAGTACTTAAAATGGGTCCCAAAAAATCAGGCAGTAAAAGCTTTGCATGGGGTCCATGTTCTGTTTTCTGTGCAAAGCAGATTCTGCAACTACTCAAAATATAAAATAAAGATATGAGTTCTGTAATAAATGTTCTTTAATACCCAAATTAATTCTCAGTTTAAATCCGCTAAATATATTCCAGGTACTTAAAAAAAAAATCCTTGTTCAGTTGTACAGTTTGTTTTCTCTAGAAAGCAGTCACAGCCTGAGTAGAAAATCCTGTCCCCTGCCGCCATGCTGTAGAGGAAGACCCTTGTTCTGTGTGGAACAAATGACCTCTCTGCAAAGGTCTGAAACCCTCCCCTGCTGAGTAAGACTTATTCCAGTCGACAAACCTTACACTCCCTCCTAATTGGAAAGCTCTTGTACTGATTCAGCAGGGGCATCTGCTGAGAGGCCACTGCTTCAATACAGAGCAAAGGCCATTCTCTGCAGGATGCTGGCAGAAGACAGGCTTTTTTTCTGTCCCTGTAGCTGCATTTTCATGAAAATAAACTAGAAGCCTTGGAACACATTTAGCTGATTTAGATGGCGCCCACCAACCAAACCAGTTTCTGTTTTTAGGTGGTGGTGGTTACACTGAATTATATGCTAGCTTCTTATCTCTGAAGAGTTGAATGGAACTGGGATTTTAGGTGGGCTGTCTCCACCAGAATTCACAGTTAAATCCTTCTGATGCAGCCTTGACAAAAGCCAAAAAATCCTGTTTTTTATTTCTTTTGGTATAGGGAAATAATTTGGAATTCAGCGTGCAAGAGTGACACCTTCTTTAGAGTGGGTTGAGGTAATCTCAACACTGGAGTTACAAGCCATAGATAATACAGTTTTCTTTTCTGCAGCCACGAGTTGCAGGAAAGAAATGGCTTGATTCCCCCATCAACACAGTCAGGGGAATCCTTCCCGCGGAGCTATTGTGTTTTTCTGGCATGGGGGGGAAGGGGGTTGTCCTCGCCAGGAGAACACAGTGATTATTGCTAGCTATAGCTGGAGGTAATAATCACATGAAAGATCCAACAGGTGGCTGTACCCAAGTCGTTCAACAATTGACTTGGGTACAGTCAGCCTGCCCACAGATGGTTCAAATCTTGGCCTTTCCTTGCTGAACCGGCATGGGATGCAGGAAGGTAGCAGGTGGTTGTCATTTCAGTTTTTGGTGTAGTAACATTTAATACAAATATGAATTAAAGATTTTACATTATTGGAAAACTCTGATATGTTTGTAAAAAATAATTAGTAACTTTCTGAGGTAACTAGTGCTGTGTTATACCACAGCAAACACAAACCTTTGCAATACAATAAACTGTAGATTGTTTTTCAATTCAGGTGAGCTGTGTCCATCTGATGCTAATCTTGATTACTTCCAAGGATGTCTTTTTACCAAGGAGTTCAAATATGTTTTACAAACTCTAAAACCAGGATCAAAAGAAGAAGCCCAGTCACGATCCCTGGAAAGTGGGCAATTAAGAAAACCATGCCACACCACCAAGCAAAGAAAAAGCTTAGTCATTGTTATTAGCGGCTTCAGATAGAGCTGAACCCATTATTTAGGTCTATAGCTTCCAACTCTTCTCCTGTCCAAAACATTTATTTCGTATAATTTTTTGGGCAATGGGGCAAGGTCATTAACCGCCAAGTTAAACCACCACCCAGATTACGATTAGACACTGGCAAACAAAAAAAAAAAACATAATTGAGCCCAGAATAAACATTTCATTCAATCTCCCTTTCTTTCAGGATCTTGTTCTGATAATATGTTAGCAGTGATGCCAGGGTATTGTCTCAGTGTTTTCCTCATCTCTGAAAACTTACTCTGTGGATACACCAGTTGGGCTGAGTATCCAGAGCTATCTCACCATTTGGACCGAAGGACACATTTCGAATTTCCTCCCTGCTGGTTTCTCCCATGAAAGAGTGAACACCGAGGCACTAAACATTGAAGTCGTCTGTCAGGTGGAGTGCTTTGCGAACTCTGCACTCTGTTTTACACCATTCAGCATTCTTGCTTTGTAAAGGGCCACATGGAACACTGATCTTTGGTCCATTCTACTGCCTAGGTGACTTTGGTCACCTCTGGTCATTCGACCTTCAACAATTACTGGCTGTCTGTGTTTTGAGTATCAGAGGCTTTTTCTCATACCTTTAGATTAGTGGGATAACCACTATGTAGTTGCATCATCTCTGTATATAGAAGGGATTGTCCTTATACTGGTGACCCTAGCTCACACTCTCCTAACTAGTGTTGGGCTTGATGTTCAACACCCACGCTATCCTCCCCCCCCCCCCCCTCTCATTTTTGGAGGTTGGGTTTTATTTATTTCAGTTTCTTATATAGCGCCGTCAATTTACGCAGTGCTTTACATATACAGTGGGGATCAAAAGTTTGGGCACCCCAGCTAAAAATTTGTATTAATGTGCATAAAGAAGCCAAGGAAAGATGGAAAAATCTCCAAAAGGCATCAAATTACAGATTATAATGTCAACAAAAGTTAGATTTTATTTCCATCATTTACACTTTCAAAATAACAGAAAACAAAAAAATGGCGTCTGCAAAAGTTTGGGCACCCTGCAGAATTTATAGCATGCACTGCCCCCTTTGCCAAGCTGAGACCTGCCAGTGTCATGGATTGTTCTCAATCATCGTCTGGGAAGACCAGGTGATGTCAATCTCAAAGGTTTTAAATGCCCAGACTCATCTGACCTTGCCCCAACAATCAGCACCATGGGTTCTTCTAAGCAGTTGTCTAGAAAACTGAAACTGAAAATATTGGACGCTCACAAAGCTGGAGAAGCCTATAAGAAGATAGCAAAGCGTTTTCAGATGTCAATATCCTCTGTTCGGAATGTAATTAAGAAATGGCAGTCATCAGGAACAGTGGAAGTTAAAGCAAGATCTGGAAGACCAAGAAAAAAATCAGACAGAACAGCTCGCAGGATTGTGAGAAAAACAATTCAAAACCCACGTTTGACTGCACGATCCCTCCAGAAAGATCTGGCAGACACTGGAGTTGTGGTACACTATTCCACTATAAAGAGATACTTGTACAAATATGGTCTTCATGGAAGAGTCATCAGAAGAAAACCTCTTCTACGTCCTCACCACAAAAATCATCGTTTGAACTTTGCAAATGAACATATAGACAAGCCTGATACATTTTGGAAACAAGTTCTGTGGACCAATGAGGTTAAAATTGAACTTTTTGGCCGGAATGAGCAAAGGTACGTTTGGAGAAGAAGGGGCACAGAATTTAATGAAAAGAACCTCTGTCCAACTGTTAAGCATGGGGTTGGATCAATCATGCTTTGGGGTTGTGTTGCAGCCAGTGGCACAGGGAACATCTCACGAGTAGAAGGAAAAATGGATTCAATAAAATTTCAGCAAATTTTGGATGGTAACTTGATGCCATCTGTGAAAAAGCTGAAGTTAATGAGAGGATGGCTTCTACAAATGGATAATGATCCTAAACACACCTCGAAATCCACGGGGGATTACATCAAGAGGCATAAACTGAAGGTTTTGCCATGGCCTTCACAATCTCCTGACCTCAACATAATTGAAAATCTATGGATAGAACTTAAAAGAGCAGTGCGTGACAGACAGCCCAGAAATCTCAAAGAACTGGAAGACTTTTGTAAGGAAGAATGGACAAAGATACCTCAAACAAGAATGGAAAGACTCTTGGCTGGCTACAAAAAGCGTTTACAAGCTGTGATACTTGCCAAAGGGGGCAGTACAAGATATTAACTCTGCAGGGTGCCCAAACTTTTGCAGACGCCATTTTTTTGTTTTCTGTTATTTTGAAAGTGTAAATGATGGAAATAAAATCTAACTTTTGTTGACATATTATAAGAATGTCTAATCTGTAACTTGATGCCTTTTGGAGATTTTTCCATCTTTCCTTGGCTTCTTTATGCACATTAATACAAATTTTTAGCTGGGGTGCCCAAACTTTCGATCCCCACAGTATATTGTACAATCACATCAGTCCCTAACCCTCAAGGGGCGTACAATCTAAGGTCCCTAACTCACATTCATACATACACATACAAGGGCCAATTTAGACAGGATCCAGTTAACCTACCAGCATGTCCTTGGAGTGTTGGAGGAAACCGGAGTACCTTGAGGAAACCCACGCAGGCACAGGGAGAACATGCAAACTCCAGGCAGGTGGTGCTGTGGTTGGGATTCGACCATCGGCCCTAGTACTGCCAGGCGGAAGTGTTAACCATACAGTGAGGAACAGAAGTATTTGAACACAGGAAATCACATTGTAGGATTTTTTAAAGAATTTATTTGTCTTGCACTGCTGAACATAAGTATTTGAACACCTAAGAAACAGCAAAAATTCTGGCTCTCAAAGACCTGTTACTGTATATTTAAAATGTCCACCCACTCATTAATCTAACTTGGTAGCACCTGTCTGAGCTCTTTAAAGACACCTGTCCACCCCACAGTCAGTCAGATGCCAACTACTACCATGGGCAAGACTAAAGAGCTGTCAAAAGACACCAGAGACAAAATTGTGGACCTCCACAAGGCTGGAAAGAGCTACGGGGCAATTGCCAAGCAGCTTGGTGAAAAAAGACAAACTGTTGGAGCAATTGTTAGAAAATGGAAGAAGCTAAAGACGACTGTCAGTCTCCCTCGGACTGGGGCTCCATGCAAGATCTCACTTCGTGGGGTATCACTGATGATAAGAAAGGTGAGGAATCAGCCCAGAACTACAAGGGAGGAGCTGGTCAATGAGAGCTGGGACCACAGTTTCAAATGCCACTGTCGGTAGAACACTACGCCGTCATGGTTTCAAATCATACATTGCACGGAAGGTTCCCCTGCTCAAGTCATCACATGTCCAGGCACGTCTGAAGTTTGCCAATGACCATCTGGATGATCCAGAGGAGGCATGGGAGAAAGTCATG